TCAATCAGCTTTTAAAGTCAGTGTTTGCTGTCTTGCTTCAAATGCTGTATAGTGTGAGGAAGTAAAACTTTGACATCACCTGCAGCAAACTATCTTCCTTGAGATGAGCTGAGTAACTGTAAAATCATGAGGATAATCTCACTTGACATGCAAATTGTGCAGCCTAACCAGGGGAAAAAGCCAGTTCGTCATTTACTCTTGGAAAATGCAATTTGGGCTGCTGTAGCAGGAGCTTTCCAGGAGATAAATTTTTCAAAATGATTAATATCTCTGGCAGAAAATTATATCAGTAATGTATGTAGAACACAAAGGAGGCTTGGAGTAATGTAATTCTGCTCAAAATTTTATTTTTTTTTCATAAAAGAGAAGGGTAGATTATGCCATCTAGTTAAGCCTTTACATATTCTAAAATGAAGCAGTGTATTCAAATTCTAAACTTTGCTTAAAAAGGAATAAATTTGTATCTGCAGGTTTACGGGCCCTCAAGGTAGTGGTTTAAATGAAAAAGTGACATTTTGGAATGGGGTGAAATTTTACAATCCCAGGCAAAAGATTCTGAGTTCTTAAAATTGCATTTTGCCCTGAAAAATCTGTCAATATTGCTGAAAGCCTAGAGGAAAGGTATGGATGTTTTTTTTTCTTTTCTTTTGTTTTTTTTCCAAAGAACAGACTTTGCTAATACTAAACTTTTTATAGTGATGTAAGGGTTTAGAGGAAATTGCAGAAATTATATTTTTGTAAATAACATGGTTAATTCAAAATTAATTCCCCTGAAAGTGTAGCTAGATCTACTTTAGCACTATTCAGAGTGGAGTTTCTCCTGAATCCAGAGAGATGACCTGGACTTAGGGTTTTTTTAAATGAAAGAAAGGATTATTGAATCAGACATGTGAGGTTGAAGGCCAGGTGCCTGTGGGATACTCTCTGTTTTACCTGAGTTAATTAGCTATAGTACATATTTGTCAAAGAGCAGGTAGATACTCTTTGCCAATTATTTAACAACATTAACAAATGATGAGATAATAGGGCTGTATCACTTTCTTCCAGGTTATTGGTTTTTGCTTAATAATTAATTATAGAAATGTAAATTCAAAAGAGGGTGTGCACTGCATAATGATGTCTCCCATATGTAGGAAACATAAAAGTAAAACTAAGCAGTTCCATGTGCTTGGGAGAGGTGTTTGTGTCAGTTTATGTGCTGGCTGAAGGAGAATTTTCCCACCATCTATGAACCAGGTAACCAGGAATTTTGACTGGCATGAAGGAAGACTGTCCAGCTCAGTTTCATTTTTTTTCTCAGATGGATTTTTTTTCTTTTTGGTGCTACAGATAAAATGCAGGGGGAAAAAAAATTGTGTGGCTTACTGCCCCACTGAGAGCTACCATGAAGGGAGCTGGTTTACCTGTGACTCCCTCCAGGAGCAGGTTTTGCAGCATTGGGTTACCTCTGGCCTTGCCTGTGCTGGAATAACCATGTGCTCTCCCTCCTCCTTCTGAACACAACTGGAAATGGAGACAACAATCTGCACCTAGTGTTACATGTGTTAGGTTGGTATTATCTTCCACTTCATGGCAGAATAACTGATTCAACTGCAAAATGTACCAAGAACAGGTATTTTAAGTTGAGGGATAGACAACTAGTGCAGAATAATACTGCTCTTCAAGCATGTCATTTCAGAAATCGCTCCTGTAAATTAAATAAGGGCAGCTATACACACACACACACAGGGCAGTGTGGAAGACCCAAATGTTTGCAGCCACATGCCAAAGGGAGACTGAAGTGAGAAAACTGGGCCTCAAAACATCTAAATGCCCATGCATAAAACCTGTCTGTGTTCTGAAGGATCCTTCAGTCACCCTGCGACACTGGTGACACCACACATCAAATCATGTTTTCGGTTTTGGGCCCTTCACTTCAAGAAAGACATTGAGATGCTGGAGTGAGTCCAGAGAAGGGCAGTGGAGCTGAGTAACAGTCTGGAGCACAAGTCTTATGAGGAGCAGCTGAGGGAGCTGTTTAGCCTGGAGAAAAGGAGGCTCAGGGGAGACCTCATTGCTCTCTACAACTACTTGAAAGGAGGTTGCTTTGAGGCAGGTGTCAGTCTCTTCTCCCAGGTAACAAGCAATAGGACAAGAGGAAATGGCCTCGGGTTGCACCAGGGAAGGTTTAGATTGGATATTAGGAAAAATTTCTTCCCTGAAAGAGTAGTCAAGCATGACAACGGGCTGCCCAGGGAAGTGCTGGAATCACCATCCCTGTAAGTGTTCAAAAATGTGTAAATGTTGTACTTAGAGACGTGGTTGAGTAGTGGACTTGGCACTGTTAGATTAGTGGTTGGACCTAAGAGGTTTTTTCTAACCAAAATGGTTCTATGATTTGGTGATTTTCCTGCAGTACAAGAGTTTATCCTGACTCACCACTGGTGGCTACCACTGAATCGTGGTGATAAAGACATTGCTGTTATGTAAGAAACAACAGCCAGTGAGTACTTTTAATTCTTCAGCTGGTCCATATATCCGAGTAGGGCTGTACAGGAGTGTGCAGACTTCTTTCCTCTTCACAGTTCTCCTACAGCCAGCAGGATGATGCTTCTGCAGGACTGTGCTGCATGGAGCAGAATTCAGCACAGGCAAGGTGAGGATCATACTTATGAAGTTGTTCATGAGTCCTGACATGTAGAGATTTACAATGGTCATAAGCAGATAATTATGGTAAATGCTCTCAAAGTATCTTGAAAACTGCCAAGTTGACCCAAAAAAGGAATGGGATTAAATAAACAAGTGCTTTGTAACAGCTTTATACATGACCAGAGAGGTGACATGCTTTCAGGGGTAATCTCATTTCTGTCGGGGCTGATGAAGTTTCTACCTCTTCAAAACTGAAATAAAACTAAGATTGGAAGATCTCTAAAAAATGGTGTCCTCATTATTTTGCATGCAAAGTTTTCACTACATGAACAAAATTGCAGTGCAGATCCTTCCCCAGAGTGATTCTGCTCTATACTGGTGGGTGAGCAAGAAGGGTCAGGCCTGACCCTGGATTGCTGAGATGCATTACTTTCAGTTCTTTCATAGAGAGAATGTTTCAAAATACTTCTAATAAAAAGCTAATGCTTACTACCTTAAGCATCCTGGAGAAACCTTGGATAACAATTGTAATAGTTGTGGTCCTTCTGTGCCACAGGTCTCATCAATCTCTTCTTATTTTCCCTCAAGGGGCTATGGGAACTATTCTGCATTTTCAAAAAAAAATTCTTCAGTAAATATTAATGGTATAGTGTTTTTAAACAGCACCTAATTGCTAAAAACTAAATCCAGAGCAGATGCCAAGCAGGTATAGATCCACATTTGTTTATTCCATGCTAATAAGTTAAAAGAATCAAGAAAGGACAGAGATCATTATATCTTCATTTCTGCCCATCTGAATTCAACACAGTGATTTCTGCTTGTAGATATCTGCACAGTAAGTTACAGCAGTTCCACTTTTAGAGAAGCAGAGCCTAATGAGCTGAGTGTGAGTTTGGAAAGCTGGTTGTTAAAACTTAAAGTAACTGGCTAGATTTTTCTGCTGATGCAATTTGTCCCAGCTCTACTGAAGTTATATCATCTTCAGTGCATCAAATGTAGTATAGAGACTGTAATTCCCCTGAATCTTGGGGGGATAAAAATTGGGTATAAAAATTGGTATGAACCATTAATATTTTGGACAAAAATATTTAGCATAGGGAAAAAGACATGGGATTAAGAAACTGAGGAATTGCCATAGAGTATTGTCCTTGCACCTTAAACTACAGACAACCAGCTTACTAATAGAAATAACTTTTGTCTGTTTGGAGAAAGGATATCTTCACATTTCCACCTGGCTTGTGTGACCAGTCGTTAGTCAATATGTGCCATCTTCATCTGTAAGTTTTGCTCCCTTTTATATTCAGGTTTTCTGAAGAGCAGAATCTCCTGCAACCTCTCAGATTGAATTGCAAAGCATGGCAGTACAGTCATGTTGACTGGAATGACCTCTGCTTTGAGAGGGAAAGAGGTAATTGGGTTTCCAAATTCAGTACTGTATCTGACATCAATCAGCTGTCAAATTTTATTAACTCTCACACCCCGGGTTCCAAGAAGATTGACTGTACATGCCTTTATGGTTGGGAAAGCACTGAAACTCTGACAAGCCTTGATAACCAAAGTTGCTCGAGAGAACATCTTTGGTAAATGCTGGCTCACTTTTCTGTGTGGCCCAGAATTCTTCAAGTAAAGACTATTATCCAAAGCTATAAATATACATTTATATAAAATAAATATATATGTGTATATAGGTATATATGGAGAGTTATTTATCACACTCTAGATAGACATATATATATATGTAATATTATATGCATTTATATTATATGTATATATATTATATATACCCACATGTATGTACTTAATACAGGCCTGTACTTTTAAAAAAATCCAGTCCAATCCAGTCCAATCCAATCCAAAGACACTGTAAATTCCCCCGAAAGGGAAGTCTGCTATAACTTGCCAGAGGAATGGACCCAGGACACTGATTGCATTGTGGCCCAACGGTGTTCTGGTGTTCCTGCCTCAGGACACAGAAAGAGCCAGAGGCAGGGATGTGTTAAAAACATACTAAAAATACTTCTGAGTTTAAAAGCATGCATTACAGGTGCATAAAGACTCAAAAAGCCACTTGCTGTCATTCTAAAGAGGAAATTTTTCGACTTTTAACTCTGGAACCGGTGTAAATTATGTAATTGGAGCATAGGCATAAATAACTCCAATGTCATAGCATTTCCTGCTTTCTATATCGGTTTACACACAACTGCTTAAAAAAGCTCCTCCTGGAGATGTTTTACACTGGGGTGAGCAAAATACCAAGTTCAGAATTTGGATTGGTTACCGTGTTTCTAACCGTGGAAATAATCTACCATCATGGACCTGAAACAGATAATCAGAACAAAAATTTAGTAAAGAGTAAATATTATCAAAGAAAAAAAAAATAACAGGATGTTTTCTGGTTCCTACTGCTTCAGTGCTGCTGTCCAAACACAGATAGCTCTGTTCTTGGAGGAGCTCTGGGCTCCAGCAAGAGATACTCGCTACTTATGCTAGACATCTGCTGTCCTCAAAGAACTGCTTAAATCCTGGGTGTGGAAATCAGGTGAGCAGAAAATATGGCTTTTAATTTCCTAAACCACAAACTATCCAATTAAGGAACCTTAGACCCTATTCAGTGTCTTTGGATAACTTGGTAGGAATCTAAAAATCGAAGTATATATCTGTGGACTTGATAGCCTACCAAAATTCCCACTGGAAGGAAATGCGATGAATGCCAGCTTTGTCTGATGTGATAAATAAGATCCCTAGATCTTTTGTAAATATATGACTTCCTTTATTTTTATTAATATCTAATTGTCATATTCTTATCTCCAGAGTTAACTTGCTATTGTACCAACTGCAGCTGTTACTTGTTCATTCTCCCCAAGACTCTAAAGTCAAACATCCCATCACAGACCTGCTTCACGTAAGGAGCTGGTTGGAACAGTAGAGCTGTAATTTTTATGTGTTCCATTTGTGTTACCAAGAATCTTAGAAACTCAAGTAGTATACATTGTATACTCAGTTGTTTACATGCCAGCAGCCCAGGACTCATTTTAGATTATATTTATTTATGCTTACTTACGGCAACGAGTGCCTTTTTTTCCCCAAAAGTTGTGATTCTATGCTTGATTCCCTGGTTGTTACTTCTAGAAATATTTTGAAGACTCATGTCAGCTAGAGTACATTTGAAACAATCAATTGAGTTAAAAACATGGCAAGTAACATTTTTCTAGTAATTGCTTTACTGCATTACCTTTCTCCTTCAGCCTTTTAAATACCAAGATCATCTTACAAGAAAAAAAAGTCGTAACTTTAAAAAACCAGGTTTGTGATTAAGATATTCATTATGAATTCCACGCACATTGGTGGTTTGCAATGATTTTGTTTTTCCACTTGTTCCTCAGGCAGTAACAGTAAATTTATGTGTTTGTGGCATTTCTGCAGTTCTAACTTTGAATGAGACTCATACCATATATTGCATTATAAATACTGACTTACATTAAGTCCCATGTGTGCCTCTCATGTAGAAATGAAATAGACAGTGTAGTCATTATTCAACTTAATTTGCAATATTTATTACCCTTGGTGGATATGAATGTATTCGTTACATTCACAATAAATGACCTCTGGGTTTCAGAGATGTATTGTCTTAGGAAAGACTTGCAAAGAGTAAATAATACCGTCCCCTTTCTCTCTAGGAAGCCTTTATTTCTACAGTGCCACTATTGTGTCCTGTATCTAAATTTAATTTATGCTAAGCTGAAGGAGCTCTTGATCATGCTATAGTGTGAAACAAGGGTAACATTTGTGTAAATGCAGTGAAAAAAAAAAAGCAACTGTATGACTTACCCTGTTGACATTCAGAGAAAAATGCCTATAAGGACCAGAGGTAGAGTAAACGTGAGATGATCCTGGGTAGTGTAAATGCTGACTTGTCCTTAGGATAAGGAAAAAGCAACAGAGTTCATTATCACTCACAAGCAGGTGGTTTGTCTATGCTGTTGGTTGGTACACTGAAAAAAGTGAACTGCATAAGCATGACCATAACATCAGACTGTCAGGTCCTGTATCATCATGAACTGGAGAATACAGGAAAAGCAGGAGCAGCAGTAGAGTGACAGTTACACACCCAAAAAATAGGCATCTTTCCTAGTGTTTTCATGTTATTGAAAGCTGTTTACTTGTAGGAGTCAGAGCTAACATATTTTAATATTTTAAGTTTAGACTGAAAATGTCAGATGATTCGATTATGCGTAAAACTTTGTATTCAACATTCATGATCCATAGACTAGTATGTCTAGTACTAAGCTTCCTGATAGATGTCAAGAGAAAGAAAATATTGTTATTTTCATTTTAAAGCTGAAAATGGAGTGATAAAGTGACTCACTTGAAGTCCCATGGGAAGTCTGCATTCCTAACTAACATGGACACACCACCGAAAACCCCTAATCATGATCAGTGTCATTGCAATGCACCTGTCCTTAAATTCTTGTCCTTACTGAGTACTGAGGTGCAGTCAGAGCACTTTAAAGGGCCTTTCGACTATTTTGAAATACCTGCCCACTTGTGTATTTTCTCTGAACTATCCATGCTAACTTTCTCCACATTTCTCTGAGCAAGCTTAATTTTTATACTTTTTCTCACCTTTTAAAACCCCTTCCTTACAGTCAAAGGGCAAGTATCAGTTACTGGGACAGACTTCAGAAGGTACAGCCCCATCGAATATTTTGTACTAGCTAATATAGGGTAAAGGTTCTGGTAAACAGGGTTACTAATTAAATGATATGAAAAGGACACTGCTTTAAGAACTGACAGAGAAGTTGGATTTGAGATTTTAAGATTATTTTAAACTAAACATTAATAACATGGAAGTTAAGAGGGAATGGAAAGGAGTTTCTGTGTTAAAAACAAAATAGGAAAAAAAGTGTCATTCTTAAAAGAAATATCTTAGGATACACTTCATAATTCCTGATGTTTTTCAGCAAAAATCTCAGTCTCACAGAAATTCATGTTGCAGGAGGTAATTTTATTCAATTCATAAATCCTTATAACAAAGATTTTTGCTTTGCCAATTATCCAGATATTCATTTCAGAGGAGATAATGAAGTATGTATTTCAGCTGATCTTATTTTAACATTTCACCATTCATGTGACAAAATGCCATACATAAAATCTTACATTGAGTTTTTTATTGGTGTAAAAAAATGATACTTCAAAATATTATGCATGCTCATGAATGGGAGTCTAAAATCAAAACCCATAAAATGTGTTATCAGAGGCTGTGTTTTTCATAAATGGCAGCTGTGCTCTCCTCCCATAATGTCACTGTCAAAGCAAAGTGAGATAATAAACCCCATTTTTCTTTGGCTCATTTTCTTTAAAAATGATATAAAAAGAATTCATACATTTATTACCTTATTGAAATGTTTTTTAAACATTTGATACTTGCAGACAATTGCAAAATGTCCTTTCTCTCTAAGACTCACAATGGCTCACTGAAATGGATCCACATCCTTGTCTGCTTGTCTTTGGCTGTTAGACTGTATTGTTTGCTTTTAATTCAAAATATGGATATTGTAATTATCCGAGAATACTGTAAATGTGTGTAGTACCTTATTGGCTACATTTTGCTCTGAAGCAGTTATGCAGCATAACTTAAAAAGAAGAGCCAAGTCCCGTAATTCTAAACAGCACAATCTTACTAAACAGTTACATTTTAGACAAAAAAAAATTGCTTTATCAAAAATGTCAGTGTAAAAAATAAATAGGAAAATGAGTGAGAAATGTCTATTAAATCAGCCTGAGAATAGTTAAATAAAGTTACTTTCTCTGACTCTGGATTGCTGATAGGATCTTTGCAGAACATAGATAAAAATCCCTCCAGTTCTGGCTCACCTGACTGCATTTTGGAACATATTCAGTGCTATATTTTCTGTTTCTGTGCCATCACATGAAAAATAGAGACTTTGCTTAAACTCTCACGAGTCCTAATTGTTTGCTTCTGATGAAAATTTTTTTAATGGGAAGTATCCTGTAGAGAAACAACTTCCACAGCCTTTGTAACCCTTGAAATTTGTGTGTAATCACTCCAGAGAAATGTCCAGCTCCTGCTTCACCATGGCCAAGTGTAAGAACTCGGTGAGCTCATTGTGGAACTCCACACAGCTCTTTTTAGAGGGGTCAAGTTCAGAGCAAGAAATCCTGCTACACTTATACAGTGAGTACAGGTACAAACATTATTTTACACTCATTCCTGCGGTTTTCTGGAGGGCCTTGTTCCTGGTAGCTCTTTACTTTTTCACTGTTCTCCTTTTCAGCTTTTCTGACCTGTTTTCCCTCTTTTATAATTCTCATTCCTGAAGCAGAACGTGGCTGCAGAAGACTGAGGTCTGGGTGGGAACTGCATTAACAACAGTGACAGGATTATTGCCTGGCTGTCTCTGCAAATGTCTTTTTTGATCTTTACTAACAAACAAACTCACTTGAACTGAGTTTAGTATGCATTTCCAGTGAGCAGAAGCAGATGTGTATTAAAGAGGCCATCCTTGTCTTCAGATTGTCATCTAAGGGATACTTGAGGTGCGCACATGCATAAGATCAAGGATTCATTTTGCTAGTTCAACCATCTCAGGACTTTTACAGATTTAAAACAAAAGACACAAACAGTGGTAAACTACAGCCAGCTGGAGAAACCTGACAAAGCTTCTTCAATCTTGAGGGACAAACAGAAATTAGCAACAATCCTTCTCACCACTGTAGTTTGTAATGAATGCTTTTTTTTTAATTTTCTGAAGATGTCATTTTTTTAAAGGACCAATTTCAGTCATACATTGCAAATATACTGTCTTGCAAAGGAACTAAGAATTTTGACAACTTTCTCATACACTTTAAGAGCAAAATTTTAGAAGTGGTAATCTTCTTCTTGCAATACCTCTATGAAACCCCTTGTGGCAAAACAAGCAGGGCAGGTGGCTGGTCTGAAATACCTAGCTCTTCAGTTCTAACTCAAGACAGCAGAAAATATTATAGAATCATAGAACTGTAGAATGGTTTGAGTTGGACCTTAAAGATCATCTTATTCCAACCCTCCTATCATGGGCAGGGACACCTTCCACTAGATCAGGTTGCTCAAAGCCCCATCCAGCCTGGACTTGATCACTTCCAGAAACGTGGCATTATCACATAAAAATTGATTTTAGAAGCCAGATGCCTGAATTTTGAGGTCTTGGTTTTGATAGTATTTCACACTTCTCCACCGTGTTTTCTGACATGTATAATAGCACCAACAGTGTACCAGTTTTTTGGGCATCACAGGAATTAAATTTTACCTCAGCCTCCAGGCCTGAGCTCCTAATTAGACAGCTGAAATGGGGCTTCCTGTGGTTTGTCCTGATCAGCCAAACTGCTGGGTCAGTATCTGCTTTTTAAGAAACTTAATTTCTTTCCCTAAGTCTTTTATATGTAAAATGAACTCGATTTATAAAGCTCCCATTATTTGCAATTCTGGGTTGAATACCTTGCGTTACACAGTTATTTATATGGCATTGAAACAGCCTTGGGCAAGATTGTAAGGCAGCACTCCTAGTGAGCCCTCATAAAGATGAGATGTTCATCTCATCTGGCAATTGCTGAGAACAAAAAAAGATAAATTATTTTTAATAGTACCTGGAAATGCTACCTGCTAACAATAGAAGCACAATCCCTCTCATGCCTCCCTTCTGTGCTTCCTCTGTAACATCCCCAGCAGTAACCTCGAGGCGGAGCAGCCTTTGCAGTACAGTTGGAATAATGCTGGCAGAAGCACTCCTTGCATTTGCTCTTCCTTTCAGGAATGAGTATGCTTTGTTTATCTGAGCTGCGTATTGGGACTATTTGCAGAGTGTCTTAAAACTTTCAAGAGAGACCTTCCCCACCTAAACCAACCATAATAAAGCAACTCTAAAATTTAATTTCTGCTGGTAAAATTTAATTTCTGCTGAAAGAGTGAGTTACCTTTTACTTTACTACACCAGTAAAATGGATACTAAACATATGTGGAAAGGTCACAGCTGGAATTGAAGGAAGGTTTTTTTTTTTTAATCACTTGAGTCTGAAAAAAATGAAAGTATTCTACATTTGTGGATAAAAGCATTGATGTTTTTATCCTCTCTACAGTGTTGTTATGTGTCGTGTTTCTATGAACTTCAACTCTGTAGCTTTATTTTATTGTTTACAAGTATATGTATCTGTAAACCAAATACAGACTGAGGTTTTTAATGCAGGCTTAGGCACCAGGTGCCACAGAAAGGACATAAACCTCAGTGAGAATGAAGTCCAAATTTAACCCCACTGCCACTAGACATGTTCTGCTCTCTGCAGGAGGTAGGTGTCCCAACACTGCACAGCAAAAGCTTTCACTGCTCCTGCACCAAGGGCAGATCTCACCAAACCTTTGCAAATTGGGCCACCAAATGGCTCTGCCTACTCAGACCTTCTCCACAGAGATCCTGCTCCCCTGGTGGTTGTGGATGGTGTGTTTTAAGACCCCTTTCCTTAAGAAGCGATTCTGGTATTGCAAATCATAACTGGAGTTTGGAGTAACTGAGCTCCTTGCCGTCAGATAATAAGAGAGTGACTAAGGCATCATCTAAATTGAATACCCCAAACATAACAGGTGGCTGCCTGGGTCATGCAGATATGTCAAACCAGGCAGGGAAGGTGAAAATAATTTTGGAGCTGATTGATCTGAATAGTTAGTCAAGACACAGCAGTGAAGAGGCGATAAGAAGCAAAAAGATTTAAGACTTAATCAGCCTGAAGACGTCAGGCTTCATGCCACTAAAAACACAATATTTAGTGACTCACTTTTAGATCTGCACTGAATTAATAACTAAACTAGTCTATAGCTTTTCTTTGGCCATCAACAAACAAAAAATCAGCCACAAATACAAGATCTCTGTGTAGGAAAAGGTAAAATTTAAAAGAGGAACTTGATATGTAATTTTTAAGGCAGTTTTGACTGATGAGGGAAGAGTATAGGCAGGTACTGGCAGGACAAGAAGAATCTTATGCAGAAAGCATGATAGATTTGTTGAGGCTCACTACAATGAATATAGTATACAACAAAGTTATGAAAAGGAACATTCATTAATGTTTTCATTGTCGACTTTGGATAAGTTCCTCTGACATAGAAAAAGTAGGTGGAAAAAAATATTTTCTCAGGAAGATTTGAGAAGACATAGAAAAAGAATGAGTGTGTCCTTCAAGAATGTGGTACTTAGGTGAAGAGAACAAACAAGAAGGAACTAAAATACCCTTTGTAAAAGTTGGTTGGATTCAAGAAGTTTGTTAATTTCATATCATTTGTATGGGAAGGAGGAGGAAAGTTAATAAGGTTTCAGCTTCCTCCACAAAGACTTAGTAATCAAAGGTCATTAGACTATATATCTTACAGTAATTAATGTGAAATGAGTGCAATTAATGATCCTTCGTTAATGAGTCTGTTACATTAGATTAGTCAGCTTCTATTTTTGTCAGATGCTATTTAACATGCTTCAAGAAAGACTTTTTTTCCGACTTCAATCTTCATAAAAATTCTGTCTGGGAAAGGTTTGGAAATAGGAACTACTGATCAAGTTCTCCCAGTCTTTTGGCGAGTTCCTTACTGCCTTTGCTGAAGCAGATATCCACTGAATTATTTTGATTTTGGCTAGCTTCCAAAGTTCAAAGGCCATCAGGTAGGCACTTATCAACAAATCAATGTGTGTTCAACTTCCACTTGGGCCTTTGAGATTTTTACTTCCACTGCCAAATATCTTCTGGGAAAAGAAATTCAAAATGCCCACTCAAAGCCATTCTTACTTCCGGATATTTTTTTAAATGTTACTCTAGGAAACTTTGTGAATTGTTGTTATATAGATTCTGTGCTTGCTCACAATGAGGAGGGAGTGTGCAAGTGAGGATTCACTGATCTGCTGTGAACTTCACCAAGTCATTCACAATTCTCACTGTTCTCCAGCTGCTTCCTACATCCTACCTATGCACTGGGTGTTGTGAAGATCAACCAGTCTCTAAAAAATTTATTAGAATATTTGTAAAGGACACTGAAGTCTTCAGATGGAAAATTTAATACAAGTGCAAATTATAATTATCACAATTCCAAGCTATTTAGTATAAACACACAGCTAAAAGAAATTATTCATTAATGGACTATTTTCATGTTTCACTGAATCTGGATACTGAGTTGCTTTTTCCATTATTGGCAGTAAAATTAGAGCAGCATCTTTACTGTCAGATTTGACCCTTTCATCTCAGGTGATATGAAAGGTCTTATTCAAAAATCAGAAAAACTGTGCTTGCACATTCATTAGTGGTAGTAATTTACTAAACCAGGTGCTAATTTTTTTGGTTATCATCTTGTTCTTTGCGCAGTCCAGATTGTGAAATTCTGCTGTTAGCCCCCTCTAGTGCAAGGTTGATGAAGACTCCCCATAGAAAAAATTCTATAGGAGACTCATTTCATTCAAATTTTGCCTGTATGTGAGGATTAGTGAATTTCCCACAGTGTTTTTAATCCCAGTGACTTATGGTAAAAACATGTGTGTGAAAACTTTATTTCCAAAAGTGCTGCCATGGATGGCATTGCTGTGGTGTGCCAAGAGCGTAACCAAAACTCTATGCCAAGTGAACACTGATGTACTTGAACTTCACTATTCAATACAGTACAATAGTCACTTTGTTTTCACTCCGTCAATTAAGTTTAAAGTACTTTTTTTTTTTTTTTTACCTCAAGGACCAAATAGCCTCAGTTCTTAAAGGCAAACTGAACAATTGCACCTGGTATTTCCAGCAACAGAAAAAGTACTGTTTTTGTGAAGAAAAGATCAATGATCGGGAGAAAACCACTGGGGTAAACCATCCCTTTTATTGATCCAAGATTAATGTCAGCTGTTAAAAAAGAGAAATTTGAAAGCAGTAAAACACTAAAGATCTGGAATTGACAAGATGAAGCAAAATGTCCAGTGTAATTCAATATTCACAAGGATGCTGCTCCAACCAAAGATATATGTACAAATGAATCCTCCAAGGAATGTTGTCCTTACTCAATGAAGTCCTTACTCATTCTACAGTAAGACTCGGTCCAAAGAGGTGTTTAATGTCAGCAGGTAACTGGACAAAGAGGAACAGTAGTATTGTACAACGTGAGAAACAAGTGAGCTCAAGGCTGAAAATACTAAGCCTACAAGAATTGCCCATTGATGAAAATACTGCTTCTAAAGCCCAGAAAATCTGTGAATAAAAACAAGTCTGAAGTTGGAGTTTTATTTGAAGTCAACAGTTGATTACCTACTTCTAAAACATTGTCTTATGCACTCTATCAGTTTAAATGTCAGAAGGCATTACAAATCCCTCAGAAACATGACTTTTTAATTTCCCAGAGGTCCAAGACACTTTCATCAAAAACAAAATTTAATATTGAAATCATACAAAGTCTTTAAGGCTTGCTATATTAGGTTTTAGAATATGTTTTCTTTATTTTTCATTCCATCTCTTTTTATAAACTTTAACATATGATATAATGTATCAAACCACCAAATATAAAGGGAAAAGATGTCAAGTGTACTACTACTACTGCCAGACTCGGAATTCATCTGAGCTCTTTGTTCTGCAATAATCTATGATACTAAAACTTCAAAGATGTTATTCTTTTTATTCCTAAATACCACCAGTTCTGACGTTTTATGTCAGTTCAAAATTGCTATGAAACTATTTGTTTTAAATTTGTGTATTTATCTTCTACATGCAGTATGAATAGGAAGCATGTGTTTGACTTTGGTTCTTTATTGATGTAGTGGTATTTGCTTACTTATTCTCATTATTGTTAGTAACACTATTGCACAAGTTGCAGTGTGGAAGTGTTTCTTACTGAGACAATAAATTTCAATCCACAAAATTCTAGACAACATATTTTGCAACAGCAGACTTTATGGCATGAAGATGAGTTGTTTTAGGAGAGTTTTAGGTCTCCTTCTTGCCCCCTTCCTTAGGAAACACAACCAGAACCACATAGTGTTTAGAGAGCAAATCTGCCAGAATGAGAGGTTTTGTTGATGCTTATTAAAAGGAAAAAAAAAGAACAGAGAAATGAACATCTGAAATAATTCTGTCCAAAATAGCAATATGGGCACCACTCTTCATTGGGTCAGCTAAACAAAAGTAAATAATAACTTCTTAATTTCCTTAATGGCAATGTGATTATCACCAATTCTTATGCAAAGAGGCAAAATAGAGATGAAATTAATTCACGTCTTTAAACTCAGGGTACACCAACAGGTAAGAAATGAGAGCAATTCCACTTTTTATCACCCAATAATGGCAGGTAATCACCTACCCTAGAAAAGCCTGCTCAGTTCAGGCTCCCCAAATACATTTTGTAAATGCCTGTGTTACTCAAAGTTGTTAAAATGTTTGGTAAGAATTATTCATTCAGTTTTATTTCAATGAAGCTCGTAGAAATCCATCCATGACATTTCCAAAGCACTACCCATCTAATCATGGCCTGTGCAGCCGCCTCTCGGCTCTAAATTGCTTGGCAACATCACGTTGTGTGTATAAATAGATCTCCTGTAAGTTGTGTAAACCTGTAATTATAGAAATAAAAACGCAAAAATCAAGCCTGTGAGCATTCCAGTTGCTGATCATGTCTACCTCTGCACAGTGTGGAGCAGGCTTTTATATCTACATGGATCTTCAATTAATATTTCATATTAATTGCGCAAATAATTGAAAACATGTGTAATGGAAGTAATGATTATATTGTTACTGAAATAAAAGTTGCAAAATGTTTCATTCTTATTCCTGAAACATCTTATTATAAGGAATATCTACTGTGATTTACCTCTTCAATCTAGTCATACACAAGGAGAAAACTCCTAAAACACACAAAAAAAAAATCTGAAGTAAATTTTCCATTTGTTGCAGTAACTAATTCCTATCTGAAGAAAACTCTTACAGGTTTGTGCCAGAAGACAACTGAATAATTTGAAATTCATAGGCAAAATGTCTTTCGTTGCTTCATTCACCCTTGGAAAATTAAACAAACAATTCTTGGCATTTTCCAGATAGTAGTTTATTTTGCACTTTCCTAGGATGTTCCTCCTGCAGTGACATCGTTCTGAAAAACCAGATGGTCTTTAAATATTGCAACAAACCCAGTGATCTGATAAGCAGGTGGATTGTAGCATGTCTATCTCAGTCTATCTCACAGTACTTTCTTGAGACACACAAGACTAACACTGAATTCTTAAATCCCTAAATCCAGACAACCCCATGATATAAGCCTTTATATAAACAGCTCAAAAAGTCCTTTAAAAAGTAGAACTTCTTTACTTTTACTCAAATGGGAAGACTGTGTCTTGTTGCTTTGATCTTTAGGTGTTGTGGGTTTTTTCACTAATTTCCAAAATAAATATAGTTAGAAAAATAATATTAATTTTTTTTCATTTACCTGCATGGGTTTTTTTTAGGTTAGTAGGGGTTTATGTTCCTCTTTTTCTGTAGACAATAATCACGTCCTCTTTCAGTCTGAATTTTCCTGCATTTCTCTCATTTTTAGATGAGTTCTTCATCCCTCTGATCCCTCTAATATTTTCTTCTGTACAATTTCCTGTGAAATTTACTCTCAGCCTGTGTTGAAGAGGACATACTACCTGTGTTTCTTTGTTCCACATTGACACTTTCATGGCTGATGTTGAGGTTCATAGTCATCCCATGATCTGCAGACCCTCCTTGAGCTACTGTTCCCAGACCTTTACCACTTTTGTCACTTCCAGCTGATAAGATCCATTTTACAACAGAAATGTATACTGTTGAGCACCATGTGCTTGAACTTGCACTTCACTCCCCAAATCTCTGCTGTCATTCCTCAGGGCTGTGCAGTCAGTGTAGCACAGTGATTATTATTGGTATTTGTGATGCCTCTCACCTTTGTGTCATTAGCAAATCTCAGACACATATTATTGTGCTGATGAAGTAAACGGAGGTTAAGGAAAGCCATAGCATAACCAGGTCATCATGGAAACAGTCCTTGGCAAATTAGTTTTCAACATTTCCCCTCATCTGCTACTTTCCCTTAGACACTTCATTTTTGCTATTCTTTGCACTTTTATTTTTCAACTAGCCCCCATTTATAAACTCTCTTGTAGAATCACATCAAATGCTCCATGAAATTCAGATGCAGGTAAGTTGCTGTATTTCTATCACACAGTTAACATAAAGAAAATTATTTTGGTTCATCTGGCTGCATACTTTTCTGTACAGTACTGTTGCCTTTTCTTCTATTTGTCATTTACCTTCATGCTTTTAATTATTCTTTCAGAGTAATGGATCAAAGTCAGACTAATAGACCAAGGTCAGAAGTGATTTCCTGAACCTCTGTCCTCACTCATCCCTCTTCCTAAATGCAGGTACTTCAATTGCTGGTTTTGATTTTACAGTGCCACTTTAATGGTTGTGAATCTGTTATAGAAATATAACAGCAGAGTCATGCCCCCCCTGGTCCTCCAGTCCTGCAGAAGGGCAGGAATGGGAACGTTATCCTCTGTCTGCAGCTACTGAGCTCCTCCAACGTTACTTTTTCCACCTTTACTGATCATCTGCTTTGCCATTTGCATGCTGAAAGTCTCAAAGTTAAGAGAATTTCAATGCAAATTCAGTACAGCTCTGTACAAACGTGATGGAAAATCCACTGATTTCAATAACATCACCCAGGTTTCTGCAGGTTAATGGTGCTTAAGAGCTTTTCTAGGCGGGGGCCTGAGGAAGTCACACGTTAGTGCTGCTGCGACTGTGAGCACACCATAAGCTCAGATATTTCTTTTACCTCCAGTTTTTCAGCTTCCTTGAGCAGCCAGCAACAGCCACAGCACATGTGCTGGCACCCAAGCAGGCCAAGTCAGGTCTATGACATGAAAATTATTTTTTCATGTTAAAATAAGTAAAACATTTTTATGGAGCTATCCATTCATCTGAGGAATTATCTTTTCCTTTATGCATTCATTGGAAGATGTTTCACTGTTTCCTTAGTGATTTATTTCTGTGAATCTTGTTAGATTAAAGATTGTAAGATTTATTCCTTCAATAATATATTCCATGTGGAATTTAATTGTAGAACAGCAGGGAAAGAGCTGGAACAGAATAAAAACATATGGATGTAATTCAATTTTTATACCCATTTCAAGATTTTTTACCTTTGGGGGCAAGTGTGTTTGGGGATGGTGCGTGGAATACAAGCTATAAATTCTATTTGAATGATCAGTAATAAAAATAAATGATCTTATTAAAAAAATTGCAATTAAGCAATGAAATGTTGCATGACCATATTAGTATGACAATAGGTGCCATGAGGCATAGATATATAGGGGAGTAGAGACAGAGCAACAAAAAACTAATTTTAGTCAAAGAACATTCTCCATTATCCCTAGAAAATTTGGCATTTTTTGGCATAATTTTGGATTTATTTTCTTGCAAATGGAGCTTTGAAATCAAGATGTATTACCATCAGAGGTCTTTTCTAACAGCACAGTAGTAAAAATCTGAAGAAATAAGAGGGCATTGTGGTCAGGATTTGCCCATATTGAGATATTTAAAAATTTTTGAAAAAAAAATTTCTTAAAGGTTCTTTTTAAAAGTGTGATGAAACCCTTTCATAATGGACAAGGTTCTTCTCTAAGGAGTAGTATATCTCACAGGGTAAACCATTCAAGAGAGACATTTTGGAATGATGTGCAGAGACCTGGAAATCTCGTGGCTTCATGTCTTCCCTCCACATGGCCACTTCAGCACATTTATTTTTTGCTGGGTGAAGCTTACTACAAATAATTCTTGATGCTTTTATTACTGAAGCATTTGGAATCCTTAGGCATGGTCTAGGTCACTGGGCTGCTTGGTAATGTACAGAGCAGAGTAAAAAGTTGGACCACAACATAAAACAGTGCTGTACTATTGATCGACTCACCAACTCTACCACCCCAGCAGCCCAAAGGCTAATTCCTTGGATTCTCAGCAAAGGAGAGTTTCAAAGAGGAACCTGCTGGGGTGAGCTATGATGCTGAAGCCATCAGGTGGATGCTCCATGGAAGTTGCATTGACCCTCTCATTGCAGGATGTTGCTAGGGAAAGTGTCCTCCCCCAGGCAGGTATAATGAGTTAATGTGAAAATGTGAAGCCCTTGAAAGTGGGAGTTGTATTTGAAGTCATGGGCGCTGGGGAGCTGTCAGGGTCACACCTGGAGAGAGGGAACATGCCAAGACCAACACAGTAACTGTCCAAGAGGCTAATGGAGAGGAGAACAAAGTGTATTTAAAGAGGCAAAAGCCAAGTGCTGTTTGAAGCAAGACACTAAACTACAAGTCTAGACAAGAATATTCATCTCTATTGAGAACCAATCAATATAAATTGCAGCACAATTGAAATCTCAGTCTCAGTGAAAGAGAAGATGTTCATTCTGTTGGAAATGGAATATTTCTGTGTGTATCCAGCTAGTGCTTAAAACTGGAACAAGTGAGGCAAACCTTCACAACTCTGGATATGTGTAAGCCAGGATACTGCATTCACTCACTTCTTTTGATCTGACATAATGTTAAAAACACAGCAAAACATGTGACACAGTTTTTCAAACAGTTATATTTTTTAACAGGAGAGAATAGTTGTGTTTCATATTTTTCTTCTACTTTGCACCACTTAGAAAGATTCTTCTCCGGATCTGGTCTTCTTTATATTTCAACTTTTCCATCTGTTAAATGGCAGAGAAATTACTTATTATTTATGTTAAGAGGCAATGAGTGGATCTGCTAAATAGTTTGAAAATCAGCAGTACCATGGATTTGATTTTTAGGCACAATGAGTGGCTCTGATGCCAAATGGCTTTAATAGAACCAGCAGACATCGAACACTAAACGTACAGGTCTTTAAGTGGTTTTTTTTTTTTTCCCTGGGTTAATATCTATAGCTGAAAAGCAGATAATTTGAATTTTATAATTTCAAGTTTCTTCCCATAACTTTTAGCCATAAGGTAATTTTCAAATTTCTCATCTGAGTTACAGACACATGGATCAAGACCCAGTCTCCATCCCAAGCATTAGCATTTGTTTCTGCACTTTAATCCTGGGCTTTTGGCTTTTTACTAGTGATCTCACACGCATCATATTTCCATTCATAATTAATAAGCAAATATTTCATTCAGTGTTGTCAGTGGGTAGTATTAACATATTGTACATCATGAGTTTAAATCAAAATAGACAAAAACTAACCCTTGCTATTATCTTAGGAGATTTTACAGATGTCAAACAGGCTGGAAGATACCTGAACATTATTTTTATGGAAAAGATGAAAGTGTTTCACAGCATATTGATCTGTACCTGACCATGAATGATTAATATCCTTTAGGTCCAGCTTCAGACTTTTTTTGATAACAGCCAAGAAGAAACCTATGATCTCATATGTCATATCTATTGATAGATCAAGAGATAGCTATATCTATATCTATATTATATATAGATGTAGTTGCCTTTATCATGTCACATCCTGCATTATAAATCAAGGCTTGGCAAAAAAGAAGGTACAGAGATGCCAGATTTCTAATGTATTTTTTTTAGTATTTATTAATTCTTATTTTTATTTTTGACTGAGATTCACTTGACATATCACTTCCTTAATTTTCCTCTGTATTGAAAAATTGTCAATTCTACTGAGATGTATTATAGAAAGAATGCCAACTCCCCATTACTGTGCTTGAAAGAGGCCCTTATTAAGGGATTTGGTTTTTAAAATCTTTTTGCCTTCTAATATAATTAAAACAAGTAAAAAGGAAAACTTGAAGTTGACTAGGAAGTTGAAATGGGGAAAATGGGGACAAAGGCTGAGTAATTCTTGCAAAACAAGGACTTGCCTTTGTATCTTAACTGAGCATTGGAGACTTCATGTTTCTGGTGAGAAGGAAGAGTAAAGTCAGTATATCTCAAACCGCCACACTTAAAATTGATATATTAAGGAATGTAAGTTGCTACATTAATCATCCTTTCTCAAAATTTTCATAGAACTAAGTATTTATTTCATCATAGAGTTCATATTGTTCAAGGATATCCAAAGGTATCTTCCCTTTTCCCTAGCTATCATTTCTGACAAATGAACCTCATTATCTCAACAGAATAATTCTGCTTTCATTGCCATGCACTGTAGATTGCTTTTAATGCCTAGATTATGTTTCCAGTCTAATACCTAGAAAAATAACCATTTTGAGAAGCTTTCAAAATAAGTCTTATGACCAAGTCAGACTGCAAAGAATGTGTTGGGTTTTTTTAAGGAATGACACTTAACAACTGACTAATATTGGAGCTGCCCAAGTCTTGCGCACAATTATACATCCTGCTTTATATTGGTGCTGGAAAAAGACTAAGTAAAAATTACTGTAAATATGTAATCTGAGTAATTTGATATGTTAGCCTGAAACATTGCCTGACTGTCACATCCTTTGTGAAGCTGTCACTTTTCTGGAGTACTTATATTTCCATTGCAATAATCCACTGTGAACCAGTAACAAAAGACAGGTAAATATGGAAATTATAATGCCTGAGGAAAACCTGCTCAGTACAATGAGAACCAGCTCAGACAAGAGGAATTCGATTCTCTTCCTCTCCTTCAGAAACACATTCAATTTGGCCTCATGACAGAAAAATTGGTTTGCCTGGATGTAAGAAGGTCTGGGACAATTGCATGGCTCATATTCTAAAGGTAAAATTACTGCCTGCTTTTTCTGGTGCTGAAAACTGAGTCTTTACCCACCAAAACGCTTCAAGGCTGGCAGGCTTGCTGGAGTCTTTGGGAGACAGAAAGTTGATCTTATTTGTGGTAATATCATTTGTGTTCACTGTACCTACAATCTCAAATGGGAATTAATCCCTTCTCTTGTGATTGTGTGTCATGCATTGGGATAAACCTGGTGTGAAGTGAGGCAGCTGACAGCTCGATGACAGTATCACAAATAGGGCTGTGGATACATCCAGCTTAAACTGCTGGGAGTTTTTAATCAGAGAAGCCTGAATTAAATTCTTGAGAAAATGAAATTAAATTTATTCCCCACCACCACTGATCAGTTTAAGAACAAGACAAGGCATGAATTATTTGTATTTTCTTCCAGGGCTTTTTGTCAGATCAAACAGTTAAACCTGGGCTCTACCTATCTGTCTATCTGTTTATTCATCCAGCTGTCTGTCTATCTATGAGTTCTTGGCCTGTTTCATAAAGCAACAAGGCTGACATTTCTTGGACAAAGGCACACAATAATTCATGAGCCCTAGTTTTTCAAGTAAGAGGTTTCTCCTAGAGACCATTATATGAGGCGAAACCCAGCCACAAACTTCACAACATGAAGTAAACAGACTTTTCACAGAAGTGACTGTTTTGTCCT